TGTCAGATAGGAAAATTCAATATGGCGTGGCGGTCAAGCAAGTTTGTTTTGAATGTGTTTTTGAATTTTTGAATGCCTAATTTCCACCGGCTCAAAAACGAAAAGATCAGTGAGTAAATGAAGCGATTTCTAGAATTTAATATCTATGAATCCTCGTATTCCCAGCGACATATCAATAAAATTAGGTCTTTTCGCACAAAACGAAATCACAAACCAGTCAGAGTGAATTCCATTGGTTGAAAGTAATTTTCTGTCTGTTTTCAACCAATGAAATTCGCTCTGACCGGTTTGTGATTTCTGTGCGAACAGGCCTATTATTCACATAAAATTCTTTTAGGCGTTGTGGGGCAAAGTTTTGTTTAAGACTGATGACAAAGAAATCACAAATCAGTCAGAGCGTTTTTGATTGGTCCAAATAGCCAACAACCAGTTTCCTATTGCTATTTTCGCGATTTATCGCTACTAATGGCAACACTGGGCAGGAATTAAAAAAATTGCACTAGTTCCGCACTAGAGTAGGGGCCGATACTTTTGCTCTCGATTAACGAATTTGATATGTGGCAAAGTTTTGCATGGGCCAAGGTCTATAAGTGTGATGTGGTTAGAGCACATTCTAAGCCCTGATTATTTTTAACGGCTATCAAATGAGAGCAAAAGTACTGGCACTAGACCTACCAATCGGAAACGCCATTAGTTTCTCATAAACTATCATTTGACACCAACTTTGAATTTAATCCATGATTAAAAATTCCGTTTAAATTATTAATCTCCGGTTAAATTCAAAGTTGTAGTTAAATGATAGCTTATGAAAATCTAGGATGAGAATGTAAAATCGGTTTTGCCGTAAAATCAACCATTTAGGTTTTACAGTCTGTCAAAGATGCAAAATAGTAGTTTTCCTAATCAGTGCGCAAAGTTATGTTTTCCCGCACGCGAAAGCAGTTAGACGAACGATGCGAAGCGGAGTCGGATAAGCTTTAAGTGCGGGAAAACTACTTTGTGCACGTGTTAGGAACAATATTTTTTTCTACAAGTAAAATAACTATACTTCTTTTTTAAATTTTTAATTTTCAAAGGCATCAAAAACAACTTTTGGGAAAGGGTTTCTTTGCGTACGCAAAAGTGTGCGCAAAGTAGTTACTTTGCGCAACTTCGTAAAAAAAGTCAATTGTAAACTGTCAATATTTTTGAAACAGTTGAAGATAAATATATGACATTGTACATGAAATATGTCTAGAATTTTCCACAGAATCCATAAATGTCATTCATAATACACAGGGAAAGTCATTTAAAAAAAACAAAAAAACATAACTTTGCATCACCACTACTTACTGGGCCACTCTGTATACTGGAAAATAATTTAGGAATGTCGTACCCATCTTTATCTACAAGTTTTGTATTTAGTTTTTTCTCCGATCTCCGTTAGTATAGGAGATATGGACCACCGCGCGCTTAGTAACTCACCCTGTATATTGACACCCCACCTACAACCTTTACCTTTACAGGTAGAAAAGAGGTTTGAATACAAAAGTTGTACAGTTTTGGCTAAATTTTTAGAATCCATGAATGAAATGTTGCAAGCTTTCAGCTTTTTTCAAATGGGATGCTTTATATTTGGTTCTATATTATTGAAGAGCACAATTTCCCGATTTCAAAAATATATAGTTTGTCTATATTTGGTTGAGCCGTCTCCAACATATTTAATTCTAAAAATTTTAAAAATACTATCCATAACGAAATGACAGCTTGTCAAAATCTTGGAAAAATACTATTGTTTCAGTGGTAGTGAAAGCGATACTTACCTCCCTTAATAAAAATACTTTAAATTGAAGTATTTTATTATCATTATTAATCAGGCGTACCCGGGAATTGTAAATTGTAAGTATTTTTAATAAGGGATGTAAGTACCGCTTTTATTCTTACTAAAACAATAGTCTATTTCCAAGAATTTGACAAGCTGTTATTTCTTTACGGATAAAAATAATGAGACGAAATTCTAGGGTCATAAAGAACTTCATGAAACTTTTAATAAGGGATGCAAGTACCACTTTTACTCCTACTAAAACAATAGTCTAGTTCCAAGAATTTGACAAGCTGTTATTTCTTTACGGATAAAAATAATTAGACGAAATTCTAGGGTCATAAAGAACTTGATGAAACTTTTAAAAAGAGATATGACACAACCTCTATTCCCTATTCAAATTTGGGGGGTTGTTCTCCCCCTAGGTAGGAAGTTGAAGTTGGGGGGATGAAAAAAACTGAAAATATTTCCCCCTCAAATCAAAAATCGACGTGTCCGAGCGTTTTTCCAGATTTTCATTGAAAATCCAATAAATCGGGGTGAACTGTTTTTCCTGGGACACCCTGTATAAGCGACTTCTCAACCAAATATAGACAAACTATATATTTATGGAATCGGGGCATTGTGCTCTTCAAGAATATTGAACCAAATATAGTTGGGCATTCCATTTGAAAAAAGCTGAAAGCATGCAAAATTTCACATTTCTGACATTCAATTTTTGTTTCTGACCATGGATTTTGAAAATTTAGCCAAAACTGTACAACTTTTGTATTTACACCTTTCTTCTACTTGTAAAGATAAAAGGAAGGGGTGTCAATTTATAAAAAAAAAACACCCTGCACTACAAGTTATTTCGAAGACCCTGTATATTAAAAAAGTTATAGGTTGTGCCTTATTATTCCTCGTGTCACCCTGTTGATTGATGTTGGAGGATGGCGCCCTTCCTGTATCCGCCACTGATTATAGGCAATTATTAGTGATTTCCATATACAGAGTGAATTAAAAGTTGACTCAAATAAGCCAATCAAGAGCCGGTAATAATAAAAATATTATTTTAACCCTCTGTACAGGAACAATTATTATGCAGCAGCGAGATAAAGTTCACTTAATCCAATGACACTTATTATTAGTAAAAAACCACAACACTCACGTGAGCAATGGGATTATGAGCACTTTTAAACAAAAACTAAAAAAAACACCCCACTCAAATAATTACCTTGGAATCACGTGACTGTTGAAGCAACATCCCCCAAAAACTACAAAAATCTTTGGCAAAACAAAATAAACTCTAATAATTATTTAAACAATCCACAACGACGATGGAATATTTCCATCTTTAGTAAAAATTTGTAAATAAAATGTCTTATTGAATACAGCAGTCTTTGTCTTTATCTTTCCTGCCATACTTTGCAGGAAATTTCATAATATTCTCATTGTTGCTTATGGTCACTTTTTGAGGCTTTGGCAAATCGAACGAAGTGACCATAGTCAATTCTAAACTACTAGTAGACGAACTTCTACCATTTGAATTCAAATTATCTTGTTTTCTTCTCGGTATTGGTGAAGCGGTGCTGCAACGTTTCCTTTGAGGAGCTACAGGGGATTTTTGTTTTGAAGCTCTAGGAGGTGCCTGAGGGAGCGAATGTTTTCTACGTCGAGGTACTGGTGGCGAACAAGGAACATTTTCTTTTGATTCATTCACCATTAGATGAGGTTGATCTTTAGTAGTAGGCTGATCTGTAATAGTTATTGGAAGATTCTGATCTTCAATGTCAATTGTATGAGCTTCATTTTCAACTACATCAATCGAACTACTTTTAACTGCTAGCGAAAAATCTTGTGTTTCAAATTTATATTCGGAACTTATTGAACTTTCATCAGAAGACTCTACTGCCTTTGAAAAATTATGAGGCATGCCCTCACTAGTACTTGTATCGTCAGTCAGAGCTGACATGGCCTCTTGGAAATCTTGCAGTTCTTTAGCAAAATCTAATTCTAGGTTTTGTTCTTGTTGCCACTTTAAAAATTCCGGGCTTACTGTTGAAGACACTGTTATATTAACGCCCCAATCGCTGTTGCTTTTTGCCACTCCATTAGATTTTGGTTTGCTTTCGAACTTTTTAATGCTACCTGCAATAGGTTTTGGCTTATTGAATTTCTTTGGTTTAACATCTTCTTGGTCTAAGGACTCAAATTTCTTCAACACTGACTTTATATCCACATTACTGACAGCGTCCAAATCAACTGAAGTCCTTGGATGTTGATTTCTATTATTAAAGTGTATTTCAGTTTTTGACCTGCAAAGGCCTCTAGAACTATCCTCGCTAGGCAGTTTTTTGCCTTTTAAAATGGCCTCGAAAAATGCAACATTATTCTTTGGCAGTTTACTTACCACTGCGCTGTCCGATCTTTTAAGTAAAGTTTCCAAGTTTTTATATTTTATATCACTCCTGTTAGGTGTTTGATGGTCCAATTCCTCCATCCATTGAAGCAAATCTTCGATTTTTTCGTCACTATGTAGTTCCAGTTTGGGCTCGTCTAAGGCATTGAACAAATCCTCAATGCTACTAGAAATCTCCTCGCACTTTACAGGCCTATCCAACTCGTGTTCTTTTTTAAGCAAATCCTCAATGTAATTATCAATATTGTCTAAGTCAGAGTCTTTTAAATCAAAATTTAAGGTTTGAAGCTCTTGAGTTGTTTCTGGCAAGCTGTTTTGTTTAACTAAAGGAGCCTTTTTTTTTGGGCATATTAACTTGGATGTTTTATTTGGAGTTCCAAAATATTTTTTAGTGTCCAACAACTGTTTAGTGTTAACAGCAACTTTAGGCTTAATTTCTTTGGGTAAGTTGACTTTGCTAGGAGTTCTTTTGATTATTAATAAAGGCTCTTCTAATTTAAATTTTGGAGTGAATTCTTGGCCAAAACTTCTGCGCTGCTCTTTGGGAGGCAACACAAAGTTCCTCTTACTCAAATTACTGCCTGTAGCACTTTTAGATAAAAAATTAGGTCTCAAAGGAGGTTTACTAGAATTAATAGTTAACTTTCCAACCACTGTTTGGTTCATATTAACATCCAAATCACTTTCGGCGCTATTGAAAATTTCAGAGTTAATCGAAATATTACTTGGGGATTTTTCTAGAGAGTTTAAAATGTCGGGGACAGTTTCTAGGGGTAAAATATCTAAAGGTTTCTTCACCTCAGTGTCGGTACCGGTGTCAGTTTGTACTACAGGAGGTTCAACGCGGACTTCTTGCCTGCGCAACTCTCTGGCACGGATTTCTTCTTCGCCTTCAGTGGCTGTATCAGAATCGGAATCTGAAATAATAAAGCATTTTTCGAAATATGTTTAGACAAATTATTATTATTATTACCATCGCTACTATTTTCGTAATAATCCGAACTGCTATAGCCATCTGAATCCGAATGACGTCCTTTGCGGTAACTGTTTTTCCACCTTTCCGCCCATTTCATGGTTCCCTCTTTGGTTATGGGTTGTTCTAAGGCGTCGTCGTATGCGTCTTCATCGTCACTATCAGTGTCACTATGGGAAAAATTGTGATTTTTTTGATGAAATGTGACAAAATAATTACCTTATGCTAGATTCGTCGTCGTCGCTTTCGTCAAGCTCATTGCACGAGGCTCCAAAGTTTTTGTCGGTCCATTCGTCTTCGTCCATTTGACTGAGAGGGTCTTCGTGGTCGGATGAAATGTTGCCAGTGGATAAATTGGAAAATTCGATTCTTTCAGGAGTTTGTACTAGAATAGAATTATTCAACTTTGAGGCTCGATTGCTTAGAAAGTATTAGAGCTATCAGAACCAGTTAAGCACTTATTTTTAGAGAATTTAATGCTCTTTCTAATGATAAAAACGTTCGTCGGTTCTTAAACCAGAAGTCATTCATTTCCATTTGTCAAAAAAATTGAATGTCATGAATTAATCTACGACAACCCTTTTTTTTTCAAGTTTCAAAGTCCAGTATGAACCCTGGTGAAACGATGTATAGGTACAATTATTTTAATGAAAAAGTCTTTCTCTTTAAACTTCCATATGGAAAGCGTTGACAAGTATGACTTCTTGCGTTTGGAAAAAGAATTTAAATTTTCAATTGCATTTAATAAAAAACACAATTTGTATCTAATCTGTATTGTATATACAGGGTGATTGATGGTCAATGTAGTTAGACGCTTATGGAAAACGGAATGTTGCATGTTTTTGAAAATTTGTATGCCCAAGTAATGGCTCCTGATCTATCTATCATTCTAAAATAATTTCAACAATGCGACATTGTCGCTTATACCAAAAAGTAATATAAACTTTGATATTTTAAATGAGACACCTTGTATATTATTGCATTTTGCGTTAGATGTTGTAATAGTTATTAATTTGATGACATTTTACAAAACTTTTTATTGACATTTTACATACTTTTAGAATAAGCATAAGCATCTGTAATTGGCTTTTTGGCTGTAGATACTGTTTGAAATAAATAAATAAATAAATAAATTTTTTGCTCTGCTATTACTTTCTGATTATTTCTGTATAATACTGTCCTATAGATACCTATCTCTAGTGATTTTCGACTTATTAATTAATTTCTTTATTTTTCCTTCAAAACATAGCTCTAGTTAAATTTGTATTACTACGTCACTGAGATTCGTAGAAAGTTCGAATTTCGGAGATAACTTAGGGAAATCCTGCATATTACTCTTGAGCAAGAAAATTTGTTCTACATTATACAGTGTTGGTCAAAATCAGTAATTGTGCCGCCAGGTACAAAAAATATGAAAAGTGCACTTTTTTAAAAATAGCACCCTGTATATTATGAAATATTATAAAAGGTAATAAAAATCCCTCACAAATGATTTATAATGTTCCTATACCTACATAAATAGTAAGGTTTTGGAAATACAAGCAAGTTTCTGTTAGAATTGGATTATTTTGGAATATTTGTCTAATGGCGTTTCCGATTGGTAGATTTAATTCGCACTGAGTGTATTTCCATTTCTTTCCCTCAGCCTGTTGAAGAAACAGATAGAAATACATTTTCTTTTCACTCATTTTACCAACCGTGAAAAGCCATTGAATAGCTATGAAATGTCACGATAAGATAAAACATATTAGGTGATCCAAACAACGTGATTTTCCACAAAATTGATATTGACAGGAACTAAAATGGATGGCCGACTTCCAGAGATGCCTATAGTAACTTTCATAGATGCCTGTGTGTAAGACTTTTGTGATGTCATTAAATTGAACTGTCAAAAACAGTGTGAGTAGGAGAGAAACAAAAACACAACAATGACAATGTTTTTGCGTATGACATATTGTGGAAAGTACTGAAAGTAGACCATCTTATGCATTTGTTGTTTTCAATTCTTGATGGTTATCATATAGTATAGTATTTGCCATCACCTACACTTATAGAGAATCATGTGGTTTGAATCCAAAGTTCCTAAAGTTAATAGGTTGTCTGGTAATGGGCAACTTGATGACACATCTGGGGTGCCTTATGGAGATTTGCATTATGTTGAAGCACCCCAGATGACGTCATAAAAGTTATCAGGCAACCTACCTCTCTCAAACAACCTTGGTTTGAATCACCTAATATGTTCCATCATGACATATCATAGCTATTCAATGGCGTTTCCGGTTGGTAGAATGAGTGCAAAGAAAATGTATTTCTATCTGTTTCTTCAACAGGCTGAGAGAAAGAGATGGAAATACACTCAGGTCGAATTAAATCTTCCAACAGAAACTTGCTTGAATAGGATTTTCACGTTATATTTAGGATGAAGTCACATTTAATAAATTTCTGCTGCCAACCTAACAAAACTAAAAGTACTTTTTAACGCTTTCAAAGTAGGGGAATTTCAGATGTTTTTGGTTGGCAACGGCGCGTAAGTTATAAGAAAAAAAAAATAGACATTGACAACATTGGCTGACCTTGTTCGATGACGTCATCCTAAATATTACATTAAAAACCTATATTTCCAAAACCTTACTATTTAGGTATAGTAAGATAATAAATACGTCATTTGTAAGGGATTTTTATTGCCTTTTATAATATTTCATAATATACAGGGTGCTCCATTAAAAAAAAAAAACACTTTTCATCTTTTTTGTACCTGGCAGCACAATTACTAGTTTTGACAACCCTGTATAATGCAGAACAAATTTTCTTGCTCAAAAGTAATATGCAGGTACCTTCTTACTAAAACTATGAAATTTCAATTTTTTTTTTTGTCGAGATTTTGTGTCCTTATGGTTCCCCGTGATACCCAGAACTCCATATACAAAATTATTCTCAGATTTGAAGCCGAAATCTATGAAATAAGGCACTCAAATTGAAAAATTGATAAATCACCCCAATTGCTTAACACGATTTTTATCTTCAGGGATTGTAGTCCTTTGAAAGGGATAAAATTCAGTGAAAGATTCAGCTTTCTATCTATAATAGAAAAAAAGTTATGACCTTTCAAAGTTTTCCAAAAAAATCATAAGGGGGGTACCTTCTTACTAAAATGATGAAATTTCAATTTTTTTTTTGTCAAGAATTTGTATCCTAATGGTTCCTCGTGATACCCTGAACTCCATAAACTAAAAAATTCTCAGATTTGAAGCCGAAATCTATGAAATAAGGCACTCAGAAAATTGAAACATTGATAAATCACCCCAATTGCTTAACACGATTTTTATCTCAGGAACTATAAGTGCAAATGAGCTGAAATTTTCAGGGATTGTAGTCCTTGGAAAGGGATAAAATTCAGTGAAAGATTCAGCTTTCTATCTATAATAGAAAAAAAGTTATGACCTTTCAAAATTTTCCAAAAAAATCATAAGGGGGGTACCTAAGATATCTCCAAAATTCGTAAATCACTAAAGATAGGTATAGGACAGTATTATACAAAAATAATCAGAAAGTAATAGCGGAGCGAAAAATGTAATAATATAAACCGTGCGTTCGTTATTTTGGTCTGAGTTCTCCGAGCTTGACTTTACCGTTCGTTTATTAAAAAAGTGTACTCGGTGCAGCCTCATTCGCGTTCGTTTATTAAAATTTCTGGCGCTTTTATACAGCGTTCAACTGCTCTGTTCGCTCGCTGGTCACGTGATTACGGCTCCGCTCAGCACGCTCTGCTCTTTGAGCAATATACCGAACGCAAGGTAAATGTGTCCCGTTTAAAATATCAAACTTTATATTACTTTTTGGTATAAGTGGCAACGTCGCATCATTTAAATTATTTTAGAATGATAGATCAGGAGCAATTACTTATGGCTATTTTCGCAGCTATAACTAGAGAGACATTTAATCTGAGTGGAGCTTTGAATGTGACTTTTGTTTCTATAACAGTCACATTCAAAGCTCCACTTGGATTAAATATCGCTTAAGCTATAGCGGTGCAAATGGCCAATAAACATGCAAATTTTCAAAAACATACAACCGAGCATACAACAATCCCTTTTATCATAAGCGTCTAACCTACCATCGACCATCAATCACCCTGTATAGACCTCCAAGAACAAATACTTCCGTTTTTTTAGTGAACTTAGAAACAATTTTATTGGATTTAACGGTTACTTGTAGGAGGGTCATATTGTCTGGAGATCTGAATATTAACTTTATTAATAACCAATCAGCAGCTACTCTGGCATTGAAAAACTTGCATCACTCTTATGGTCTGTTCATGTATGTAAATTCTCCTACCAGAGTAGCTGAAGAATCCGCTACTGTAATTGATTATTTCTGTACTGATTTTGTTGAAAACAAATTTAACTGTGACATAGTTTCCACCCCTGGACTGTCAGACCATGAGGCCTTGTTGGCCAACTGCTCACTACTTTGTACAAAAGAAAAAATACCCAAAAGATATGGAAGAGTTTATTCAAGTCAGGTATACAGCGTGCGCCAAAAAGGTATTTTTTTCAAATGGAACGCCGTGTATATTTTTGTTATCCAAATAGTGTTTGATATTTTTGTGAAGCTAATTTTCTAAGAATTTTAAAAATGCTTTTGGCGCACCCTGTATACCTATGGCGACAAAAAAATATCGCTGTGCCGATTAAGATCGTTGCAATTTGCCAAGAAATTTTTCAATTTGAACATGCCCTTTATTTTCAATAATAAAAAAGTTACTGAGTGAAACATGTAACACAAAATCAAACTAAAATGGATGTGTATAGGGGTCCGAGCGCTCCTGTACTTACTTTCGAGCAACCACTGGAAATGTTCCAAATAATTTTGCATAGTATGTTCAACAGGAGCTTTCCGTTGCGTAGTATGAGAGCAAAAAATTAAAAAAAAAACTGGATAACGAAAGGTACTTCCTCAAGAACCCTTAAATCCTTACATTCTACTAAAAAATTTACTAATAATCAATATTTTATAAATTATTATAGTAACTATTGGAAAATGTATAGAAAAATTATCAAAGCAGCAAAACTACAATATTATCAAAATAGAATTTCCAATGCAAAAAGCCGTTCAAAGGAGGCTTAGCCCATTGTAAACGACCTAAGGGGCAGCCTTAACTGAAACAATTGTAGAAGAACTTAAAATCATAATAAGGGGTATAAAAAGTAAAAATTCTGCTGGAATAGACGAGATGTTTGTCAAAATTTTTCAAACGTAAACAACGACATTTTGTTCGTATTGTCACAAGCCATTAACAAATCATTCGCAATTGGCGAATTCCCAGACTCACTTAAAGTTGTTTCGGTGATCCCTATCATAAAACTGGCTCCTTCAAAGACCTAACCTATTTCACTCTTAAATGTCAAAAATAGTGGAAAAAGTAGTGAAAAATAGACTGATTGAGTTTTTATCATGTAACAATATAATAAGCGATGGGCAGTCTGAATTTCAGTCATCCAAAAGTACTAGTGATGCTGTCTTTTGCTTTCTAGAGCAACTATATTTGAAACTGAATAATAGAGAGCTGGCAGCTGCGGTTTTTGCGACCTCTCTAAAGCATTCGGTTGTGTTAGACACGACATACTCTTGAGAAAAATGTATATTTATGGAATTCGGGGCATATCATTGAATTTCTATACATCAGTACATCAGAAGCTCTTAAAATCGGAAATAGAAAATCAAGCGCCGTATTTGGAAAAATGAAGTTGATGATGGTGGCCCAAAGACGAAACGTCGTCAGCTTGTAAATTTGATGGTAGCATTTTGTAGAGGAGACAAAATGGCAACGATAAAGTGACATTTATTTTGCGATATCATTTCAAACAGAGTCAGAAAAAAATAAAAACGATTCCAGCAAAATTCGGTTTTTTATAGATATCTTCGGAATTTCCAAAACATCAAAACATGACGCCACTGAGCTCAGTAATGCGCAACTTTTTCCAAATCTAACCAACCCTGTATCTCTTAAGGTTACGGAGATCCCTGTAGAGTGCATCCTCTTCCAGGACACCCTGTATATATATGTTAGACAGCCGTAAAACTATCAAGCTATATATATAAATATATAAAACAGTATTAAACGCGCCAAAAAACTTACCCCTATCTAACAAGTCAACTCCTTTAACTCCAGACAAATGCTTTTTGTGAGGACTCCTACCAACTTCCCGTTTCTGGCTCAACTTCCTGGCAACTTTAGTGGGCCTGGGCAACTCCCCTTGCATCCCGTAATGGTGCATACAAAAGAATTTGAAACCATATTGCCCATCGTGGTCAAACATATAAGAACCCAGCCTGAGCTGAGAGTGACAATATTGACACCTAAAACATATAATTAATAAAATGTATAACAATTTTATAATAATTTACTTGAAACATCCGTGATGGAAAAATCGGTTTTCAGCTGACAACCTTTCCATTAAATAAACCCGCTTGTTACAAAAATGGCAAAACTCTGAGCCACTTTGTATTGGCAAATTAACAGCTTTAGGTTTCTCACTGACAACTTTTTCCTTGTCTTGAGGCACTTTGCTGACCAACTTCTCAGTGATTGTGGCCACTTTATTTTGGCCCAACTCCCTATTAGTGCCCTCCTTTAGTTTCAGCTCTAGCTGTTTTATATTGCGATCAATGTCGGCATATTTTGTTTCGGTATTTTCTTGTTCGTCTAAATGTTTCTTTTCCATTTTCGTTTGCCTGGCTCTGAACTCTTCCTTGCTCCATTTGGGCACTCTTTCTTTGTCAGCGTTTAATGTTGAAGGTTTGCCTATTTTGTTTTCGAGGATTTTCTTTTCGATTTGTTGAATGTTCCAATCGGAAGTTTCTGGAATTAATTAAATTGTGTTTTGTGTTATTATTGTTATAATTAGTTTTTACCAATTTTTCCAATTGCTCTCATCAAATCTTTTGGTTTCTTTTCGGTTTGTTGCCGGTTGCTCCATTTGTCTTCTAAGCTTTTGATTTTCGAGGCGATGTCTTCTTCGGCGTTGGTGTTTTGTAAGGGTTTCAGAGCGGTTATTCTAGTGTCGTGATCCTGGAACGATTTTAAATGAAATTTTCTTCAACAAAAGCACTTTTTAGATTGTTAGCGTGTAAAACAACACCAAAAAATATGAGATTTTTGAGACAGTATTGTCCTAATGTTAATGAGGACAGCAGAGATGAAATTGTCTCTTAAATAATTGCGAAGTTTGACTTTTTGTTTTGCAAAAGTTTAAGGACATGCCTAGCATGAAACAGTAAAAAATTCCCTAAATCTAGGGAGAATAATACCCACACACACAATACCCATTGTAAAATGATTGTGTGGTGTTGCCGCATTTCTTGAAATTTCTCTAGGAAAAATGCTTTGCAGAGAGCTACATTGTATAATAATTGTTCAAAAGGCCTTTGATCATAATTTTTTGAGGAGAAAACAATTTTAGTTTTATAACGTTTTTTTATTTCAATTTTTTCTTATTCCAGGCTTTTGAATTTTCCTAATTTTTTTTGCAATTCCAAATTCCTTTGCAGGCTCTGTAGCTGCGAAACTTTTCAAGCTGCATTGAAACTTTCTATTGAAGATTTGTAGAGGATTTAATTGGCTTCAATTCAAGCCTTTAAACATTGAAATCGGACTGAAATTAACAAAGTTATGAGGCAAAATGTCTGTCAGTATCATTGTAGAAACATTTAAATTTTCCCAAGGCTTTGAAAGCTCTGTAGCTTCGAAATTTTTGAAACTGTATAGAAATTTTTAATTAAAAATTCGTAGAGGATTCAATTGGATTTAATTCGAGTCTAATTACTAGAGAAAGGCATATATGCAAAGTGCATATTTTGCATATTTTATGCATTTTTATTTCATTCTGCATATTTCTTCGAAAACCTGAAAATAGTGCATAAAATCTATCAAATTTAGACAAAAGGTTTCAATGAAAGAAAGAATTTTTAAATATTCAACCATTCAGCAGGTACGTAATTACCGGAAAACCCACCGCGAAAGATCCTTCACTGAGCCTTGTTATGGAAATTGCACCACTATTCATACTGGTGATTAAAACCTAATTCAACCATTAACTACCTACTTGAGTATGTACGTAATTTGGGACCTACTTGCCTGGAAGTAGAGCAATAAATATTTATAGTAAGTATCGATTTTTGAAGATGTCCATATTCATTCAAAGTTGTGATTTTGTGTACTGTGCATCGTTTATACAGCTCCGTTCAAATTTTTGTGAAAATGCCTAAAGTTTCAAGTGCAAGTATCTCCATATGGATAAAACCATACAAAGAAATGTATATTGACATGGGGAAGGTTTACTGCTCCTCTTGTAGTAAAATATATATCATCAACAATCCAACAGTGTTTATTTTTTGAAATTTCTTTATGCATATTTTCAATAATACTTGCATATTTTGACTAAAATATATGCATATATATGCGCATATTTCCTATACTTTCATATGCATATTTGCCTTTCCCTACTAATTACGTTTCAATCGGATTGAAATTAACAAAGGTATGATGTCAGTGTCAAATTCATTTGATTCAAATTTCCAAAAAATAACATAGAGGGACGTTTCATTTATTTTTACTACAGTGGCTAATAGTCGGGGAGCTGGCGTCGAAAATATGCAAGAGTTTTCGCAAGGCTCATATTTTCAGAATGAGTAGCATTTTAGTACTACAAAGCTAGGCTACAGTCAGCAGTTCCAGTTCCGGGACACCTGGCGCTGAGATGCGTGCAAAGGTGTATTTTTAATCAACACCTCGCAACAGTTTTCGCAAAGCTGAAAATTAGCAAAGAGCATGCGAATATAATGTAGAACCATAATTTAACAGTCAGACAAAGAAATACGGGGACACGTAGAGTCAGCGCGACTTTGAAGTGGTCAAAAAAATGATGTCACCGAAAGTGTTTTCGCATGGCTGAAATTTGGCAAGGTAATAGTAAAAACAATATATTTATTGAAAAAAACAGTCAGACACTTCTATGTCGGGACCCCGCCAGTCAGCAGTCGATAAGAGTGATATAGGTGGTAGCGCGCGTCAATAGGCATATATGCATGTCGAATAATAATTTCACCAAAAGTGGTTTCGCATAGCTGAAATTTGGCAAGGTAATAGTAAAAACAATATATTTATTGAAAAAAACAGTCAGACACTTCTATGTCGGAACCCCGCCAGTCAGCAGTCGATTAGAGTGATATAGGTGGTAGCGCGCGTCAATAGGCATATATCCATGTCGAAAAATAATTTCACCAAAAGCGTTTTCGCATAGCTGAAATTTGGCAAGGTAATAGTAAAAACAATATATTTATTGAAAAAAACAGTCAGACACTTCTATGTCGAGACCCCGCCAGTCAGCAGTCGATTAGAGTGATATAGGTGGTAGCGCGCGTCAATAGGCATATATCCATGTCGAATAATAATTTCACCAAAAGCGTTTTCGCATAGCTGAAATTTGGCAAGGTAATAGTAAAAACAATATATTTATTGAAAAAAACAGTCAGACACTTCTATGTCGAGACCCCGCCAGTCAGCAGTCGATTAGAGTGATATAGGTGGTAGCGCGCGTCAATAGGCATATATCCATGTCGAATAATAATTTCACCAAAAGTGTTTTCGCATAGCTGAAATTTGGCAAGGTAATAGTAAAAACAATATATTTATTGAAAAAAACAGTCAGACACTCCTATGTCGGGACTCCCTCAGTCAGCAGTCGATTAAAATGAATAGAATAGAATAGAATTTTACTCTATATATAATATCCATTTCGATGAATAATTTTATTTTTATAATTTAAATTATTTGGAATCGGAAACGGTAAAATAAAATTGTACATGCAGTTAAAAAGTTTGCGGTTAGAAAAAAGCCCGATTCGTATAAATATTACTTGACCATTTAATCAGCAGTACTGTGATAGTATACCTATAGTAAGTTTCATTAAATACTTATAATCGTCGCCGATTTTATAAAATACAAAAAAAAAATTCTAATCACATCTGCCGCTTCCCTTCCCCTAATCTCGACCTAACAGTACCATAATGAAGTTTCCGAATTCGAATGCATATACGCCTTATTCAAGTATACGCGCTTACGCTTGCAACTTACAGGTTTACACTTACTCATTAAGAGAAAAAAAAATGTATTTTACCGTTTCCGATTCCAAATAATTTAAATTATAGAAATAAAATTATTCATCGAAATGGATATATACCGGGTGGTCCTCCGGGAATGACATCGATTGCTTATGGGAAAACTGTGAAAGGTAAAAATTTGAAAATTTGGCAACATAGCAATGTCGATGGGGGACATCCAGGTAAAATATTTTCAAGATGGCGGCATTTCCGGTCATACCGGAAGTTGATACCAACTCGGTTATTTTAAATAGAACATATATTAATGTATTTTTGGATTCTACATAAAATTCTGAGCAGATTTCATGTAATATACCCTATACCTAAGTTCAACTGTTTTGGAAATATTGACAGTTGAAAATTGACTTTTTGCAACTTTGACAAGCTGTAAAACCTAATTGGTTAATTTTAGAGGAAAACCGATTTCACATTCCTATCTTAGATTTTGATAAACTATCATTTGACACCAACTTTGAACTTAAACGGAGATTAAATTTAACTGAAATTTTTAATCATGGATTTAATTCAAAGTTGGTGTCAAATGATAGTTTATAAAAATCTAAGATAGGAATGTCAAATCGGGTTTCCTCTAAAATTAATTGTTCAGGTTTTACAGCCTGTCAAAGTTGCAAAAAGTCAATTTTCAACTGTCAATATTTCCAAAACAGTTGAACTTAGGTATAGGGTATATTACATGAAATCTGCTCAGAATTTTATGTAGAATCCAAAAATACATTAATATATGGGGTGTTCTATTTAAAATAACCGAGTTGGTATCAACTTCCGGTATGACCGGAAATGCCGCCATCTTGAAAATATTTTACCTGGATGTCCCCCATCGACATTGCTATGTTGCCAAATTTTCAAATTTTTACCTTTCACAGTTTTCCCATAAGCAATCGATGTCATTCCCGGAGGACCACCCGGTATAGAGTAAAATTCTATTGACGCGCGCTACCACCTATATCACTTTAATCGACTGCTGACTGAGGGAGTCCCAACATAGAAGTGTCTGACTGTTTTCTTCAATAAATATATTGTTTTTACTATTACCTTGCCAAATTTCAGCTATGCGAAAACACTTTTGGTGAAATTATTATTCGACATGGATATATGCCTATTGACGCGCACTACCACCTATATCACTCTAATCGACTGCTGACTGGCGGGGTCCCGACATAGAAGTGTCTGACTGTTTTTTTCAATAAATATATTGTTTTTACTATTACCTTGCCAAATTTCAGCTATGCGAAAACACTTTTGGTGAAATTATTATTTGACATGGATATATGCCTATTGACGCGCGCTACCACCTATATCACTCTAATCGACTGCTGACTGGCGGGGTCCCGACATAGAAGTGTCTGACTGTTTTTTTCAATAAATATATTGTTTTACTATTACCTTGCCAAATTTCAGCTATGCGAAAACACTTTTGGTGAAATTATTATTCGACATGGATATATGCCTATTGACGCGCGCTACCACCTATATCACTCTAATCGACTGCTGACTGGCGGGGTCCCGACATAGAAGTGTCTGACTGTTTTTTTCAATAAATATATTGTTTTTACTATTACCTTGCCAAATTTCAGCTATGCGAAAACACTTTTGGTGAAATTATTATTCGACATGGTTATATGCCTATTGACGCGCGCTACCACCTATATCACTTTAATCGACTGCTGACTGGCGGGGTCCCGACATAGAAGTGTCTGACTGTTTTTTTCAATAAATATATTGTTTTTACTATTACCTTGCCAAATTTCAGCCATGCGAAAACACTTTCGGTGACGTCATTTTTTTGACCACTTCAAAGTCGCGCTGACTCTACGTGTCCCCGTATTTCTTTGTCTGACTGTTAAATTATGGTTCTACATTATATTCGCATGCTCTTTGCAAATTTTCAGC